ATTGACATATAAAAATGTATGTATTAGGTACAGCATGATATTTTGAAGTATATACAAGTTGAGTATCCCTTATCTGAAAACTTGAAACAAGAGTGTTTTGGATTTCAGATTTTTGAATATTTGCATTATACCAAAAGTTTGGGATTTCAGGTTTCAGGGTTTTTTTGTTTTGTTTTGTTTCTGACATGGTGTCTCACTTTGTCGCCCAGGCTGGAGTGCAGTGGCAATCTTAGCTCACTGCAGCCTCCACCTCCCACCATAAGTTTTAAGAAATTACTATCTAGACATATTGTATTATTCATGCAATTCTCCTGCCTCAGACTCCCGAGTAGCTGGGATTACAGATGTGTACCACTGTACCTGGTTAATTTTTGTATTTTTAGTAGAGACAGCATTTCACCATATTGGCCTGTCTGGTCTTGAACTCCTGACCTCAGGTGATCCGCCCATCTCGGCCTCTCAAAGTGCTGCAATTATAGGTGTGAGCCACCGCGCCCTGCCACATTTTTGGATTTGAGATGTTCAACACATACGTGTTGCTGACTGGTTATGAAGTTAGTTATTTGAAATCATATTCTGTAAAGTCTGCAGTGACTATTGAACTAAAATTTTCATTTGTTTCTCATATTGTTCATATTCAAGCCTTTATTTAAATTGTTTGTTTTTTGTTTTTTTGTTTTTCATTTTTCTAATCTGCGGTAATTTACTATCAGCTTCTGTATCCATTCAGAAGACAGGTCATAATACACTCTAGTATTTTTTCTTTGTAGCATTCAACTTAATTGACTTCCTTTCCTTTTCTCAAATTTCATGTATATCAAGCATATCCATAACTTATAAAAAATTATCCAGCTGTATTGGCATTATTCAGTCCTTAGAATTTTTTTAACCACCCAGAGATAAATTTGAGATTCATAAGAACAATTTGGGCCGGGCGCCTGTAATACCAGCATTTTGTGAGGCCGAGGGAGGTAGATCACCTGAGGTCAGGAGTTCAAGACCAGCCTGGTTAACATGATGAAATCCCATCTCTACTAAAAATACAAAAATTAGCCAGGTATGGTGGCATGCGCCTGTAGGCCCAGCTACTCGGGAAGCTGAGGCAGAAGGATCACTTGAATCTGGGGGGAGGAGGTTGCAGTGAGCCAAGATTGCACCATTGCACTCTAGCCTGGGCGAATGAGCAAGACTCTGTCTCCAAAAAAAAAAAAAAAGTAACAGTTTGAGAGCACCAAATCCGGCCGGGCGCGGTGGCTCACGCCTGTAATCCCAGCACTTTGGGAGGCCGAGGCGGGTGGATCACGAGGTCAAGAGATCAAGACCATCCTAGTCAACACGGTGAAACCCCGTCTCTACTAAAAATACAAAAAATCAGCTGGGCATGGTGGCACGTGCCTGTAATCCCAGCTACTCAGGAGGCTGGGGCAGGAGAAT